GTCCATGCATGTGAGCCCATGTGAGTAGGCTCATTCTATTGGCCTTGTAATAACATGAGTTTTGTATAGCTCAGCTACTAAATTCTCACTTTTATGTTTGATTCTATTTTAATTTTACCCCCCAAAATTATTTCATATTTCTTATAATAAACATTTTGTGTAATATGTACCTCACTTCTGTGTCCTACAAGAGTCAAAAAGCAATGTTGCGTGTCTAGATCCCACATCTTCACAAACATGTCTTTTGAACTATAAAGTAACAAAAACAACACTATGTCCACTGCAGATAGAGCGGATTTCGTATGAGTGGGACACCATTACCGCACAGTTCGATGATGGTGCAGGTAACCATGAAGAAGACTAGCTATTTAAAAGTACATGTAAATCCAACATTTTGGAGTCATTTTGAACCAAATATCAAAAGCTTTATCAAGGCTTTAATAATCTTTTAATAAAACCTTTTAATCAAAGTGATCAACTTGAAGATGAATCTAAAAACATTGGATAATCGTGCCAGTCTGTATTCTATATTCCAAGACTTTATGTCATTTATTATATTAAAATAAAAATTCACAGTCAAATAAACCAAGAGTCAGTGTGAATACCTCGTAATCAGGATGTTCTTTGACTTTAAAAAGTAGCACTGTGTTACCATGCCTTTATGTCCATTGAACCTATTAGATAAATATACAATACATTGGAGCAATGGTCAAAGTAAATAAAAAATGCATTGATTTAATAACTGATTCATCAAAAAAATAATGAAATTTAACTGCAGGACTTGATGAATAAGAGAAAAATATTCCCTAATCTAATATCAAAACACTGCAGACAAGTTCAAACTGTTAATTTTTTCTGCTTCACTGTACAGTCACAATCGTTATGTACATAATACTCCAATTTCGAGTTCTGGTTTGCTCTGTGTTAGCCTCAAAACCAAGTAACATATTCTTTTCGTTTCATTGATAGCCCGAAAAAATGCTTGAAATTCGAAAAGAAAGACAATAGAATTGAATTGAAATCTCACACTTTTCTCACAATTAGGAATATTTTGCGCACAAATGAGGCTAACACAGAGCATTGGAGAATTTGAAACTGGATTATTGCTGCTAAAGGATAACTTCAGACTTTTAAGATATTTTAAACATACAAAATTATTATTTCAAGTCACAAAAGATTACCTGTACAAGCCAGTTTCACTCACAATATCCCAAACAATAACATCTGTATCCTGCATAAAAACCAGTGATTTAGATCAATCAAGATTTATCTAGTTATGATTTTTGCAAAAAAGTGCAAAAAAAAAAGGTCCAAGAGTAAAGTTCTATGGCTGTTTAAGTTTATCATTATAATTATATTTTTATAGTAGAATCGATAAAATTATCACCTGCCAGTGATTTGAATAGAATCTGGCAACTGACAAAGTCTAGCATTTATTTTAACCTTTGGCACATGGGCTGGCTACTATTTTATTTTAATTCTTATACTTTTTAAAGCTCTAAGAGAAAGCTATAGTAGCTCTATAGAAGCTTTACATATTATTTCATTATATTAGATGATTTCTAACGCGCGCTCTGATTGGACAAAAAATTGTGGTTTATTAGAGTGTAAACCACGATTGTGCGCGAGTGATTTTTGAAAACGGCAACAAAATGGATTTTTGCTTAAGTTTTGCTCAAAATCTATATAATAAAACAAATAAATAAGTCTCAGCCTGTGGTTTATACTCTGATAAACGCACGCTTTCAGCTYGTGCTTCTTGACATTTTCTCGTGTGTTTCAAATTGTGCATTTATCAGAGTATAAACCACGGCTGAGCCTTATTTATTTGATAAATCACCATTACGTTTGCCAAATGATACAGTTGTAATGCTTGAATGTGTCCCCCTTATGATTCGTATCCATGTGAGTATGAAATCCCACTTGATGGCAGATGCCTATATACTACTTACTCTGCCTCCAGATGCAAGAAGACCACCAGAATAATCAAACTGAAGAACTGAAACTGCTGATTTATGCCCACTGCAAGAATACAATATAGACCATATAATTATAGATAAAATACTTTGGGAGACCTTCAAAATTGTGATGTTTTACCAGTGCAACTTCCCTCCCTCATCTTCGCTCCCCTTTCCCACAGTACAATGTTGTTGTACATGATGTCAACATACTAAGCAATGATCATATAAGATAAAGATGCCTGGATAAAACATTAGAAGGGGGAAGGCAGGGGGAGGCATGGATTCTGTCCTGTTTTTCAAAATGATAAGTAATTTGTTTAACATGTTGCAATGTYCCAATTAGAACGTCAAGGATTGTAACTTTCAGAGTTCTCAAAAAAAACGTTTTTGCAGTTTGCAAAAAATACCAATTAAATACTAATTAAATATTTGCAGTTTTCTTATTAATGTCCATGTACCTAAAGAACTACTTTTGCTAGAACAGCTGTCTACTTACTTTCCTACTGAGAACCCTGCATTTTTTGGATTTTGATTCTGTAAAATGCATATTTTTACACAATTTCATAGTACAGTTAACTCTCTTTGCACGACTCTAGTAAGCGACCACCTTTTAAATTTCCCATTTTTGTTCAGTTTCCCCATATAAACTTTGTAAAAAACTTTCTCRYAAGTGATGATCTCTCGTAAACGACCACTTTTTCCTGATMSCGAGGTGATCGCTTACAAGAGAGTTGACTGTATTTAGCAATAAACTGACATCATTGTACCTGAATGTGACTTGTGAAGTCCCATCTGTCAGACTCCAAATCTTTATGGTACCATCATCATACCTACATTAAATTATTTGATTGTGATAAATATTAAAGGAAAACGTTGATGACAATTTAAATGAAAATTTGTAATGACTATTGTGTTTTGCATGGTGGAAACCAACTTTAATTGTTTTAAATGACTAGCAAAACATCTTTCTCAGACAGYAAAAGTGCACGTCATACCTCAAAAAGTTTAGTAAATAATACATGTTTCTTACCCAACAGCGAGGTTGTTCTGCTGGCCATCAATGGCCATTGCTGTTATTTCATATTTGCCTCCYTTTAAAACACAAACCTGCAAAGAAGAGATTTTACAATAAACAAATAATTATTAAAATTTCTTTGTATGCAAGCATAATTACTAAAAATAAATGAATCCTCTGCGTTTACTAGTGATATTTTTGATACCAAGCTTTCAGCCTAAGCGGCCATTATCTTACGTGTACTCTACCTTGATAATGGCCGCTTAGGCCGAAAGCTCCGTATTAAAAATATCACTAGTAAACGCAGAGGATTCATTTATTTTTAGTAAATAATTATTAAGTTATTATTATAAATAATATTTATCAAATCAGAAAATATGTAATTCATAAATAATCAAACAYTGCATTATCAAAGCTTATATTATAAGCTATAAAGTTAAGTTAGCTAAGTTTAAGAGTTAATTTAAGCACTTCAGTTAGGTTACATGTTACTTATGTAGCTAGTAGGTTAAGCTTGATAATTAACTTAAGCTATAAATTATAATTCTAAAATTAATGTTTTTAAACGTTAGTACTAATCTGCAAATACTTTACGAATTAACTTTCAAATATGTAAAAAACTGGTCATACGCACAAAAAACATATCACTACATTTTATTCAGAGAACTCCTAACCTTCTCTTGTTTTCTTGTATCCCAAACGACGATATCTTGCAACGCCGCACAAACAGCCAATCGAGTGGTATTTTTCTGCCCAAATCTTTTCCCATCGACAAARAGAACATTTGCCTTAAGACTTCCTACGATACCAAAACATCCAGATGCTTCATAACGTAAATATGACTTAGTTAAGACCATTTTGCTCGACAAATTTTTCAGATATGTTTAAGTTTGTCCGCCATTTTCTTTGGCACGTGGTCTTGCTTGATACGACCACAGGATACCCAAACGAGTAATTTTGGCTTCGGACAAAGTCCTCTTTCTAGTAAAATTCTTCTTRAAACACATAATATACTTTTTGTATTTTCACATAAATTGATCAGTAGTTTAGTTTAGAAGTATTTGGGTAATCGGACTCTATTGTTAAGGGAGGGGGTGGTTTTTGTGTGTTGTGGACTGGTGATTTTGTGTAAGAAATATTCATGGATTGACCCTGGTGTCATGGTAGACTCATCAGGGGCTGAGATAATAAACTGTTGTCATAATGGCAGTTATGGTGGATGACAAACGTGTTTCATACTCCAAGGCCTTAGAGCTCAACCCTACACGCGGCAACCATGTGGATTTCCATCCATTTATATATGTGGTGTTGTGGGATGAAGGAAAAATTAAAGTTTTTTTCGATGTAGTGTGAGGATTTGTTTGCCAAAACCGACTTACATACAATGATCAGCCAAAAATCTAAAATAAAAACCGAAAAAGGAGGAGAATGTTAAGTAAAGGATTAACTGAGACGTAGTACATGTATTGGTGGTATGTGGACCGTAAATTTGCATACCTGGCTAGAAAAAAGGCTTTTTCGTCGCCGAGCTTGTGTTCAGTCTCCACATCGTCTCCACTATTGTAAATGATGAATCAAAAGCCGGTAAAAAAGTAACGCGAAATTATGAAACACACATAAATTGATCAGTTCGTGAACAACTCTATTCTACTAGTTGCATTTAAGCTTATATGAAAAGTTCGGAAATTTCATGCACGATGCAGCGCAGCTACACTTTGAAACTTATTTCCCGCCAAAATGCAGTAAGAATGCGCGCGCGCGTCAGATTGAGAGCATCCGTCTTYAAATGGCGCGAAAATGGACACTTTCAAAAACGATTTGYTCGTTTCACCGTGAAAATTGTGGTGAAAATTAAAACTACTCCGTCACGGACGTCCTGCTTGCCTTCTTCGATCTACAAGCTTACTTTTTTAATGATTATGTGGAAGAATTATTATGGAAAAATGCCTACAAGAACGTGTTTTCGAGTTGCTTTGCAGAAACGATGCCTTTCATMTCAAAGAAATTGAGCGACAATGTCGAGAACATTTAAAAGAAACWAATCAGGTTTGAATGTCAAAAGTGTCTAGCAGAGCCTATTGAGAATTTTTATTTATGATCTAATATTTTAAAATCAATGTACTTAAATAGAATTTTTTGCAGTTAGAGATTGTGTTGTGAGCTGCTGTTGTGTTGATGTGTCGTCTTATTAATAACTTAATAAGCTTAACTTTTTTAACCAATTTTGATCAGTTTTTAGTTTTATTTAAGCTTAAGTAAGCTAACACATAAGCACATAGTATCTAGTCGTGTTAATTTCTCTCTTTGTTTTCATTACATKCAGGGAAAGCTTGTTTACCGATTTATTTTTGCTGTGGATGTTATCGAATTGATCGATTTTGATGGTGAGTTTAGTACATTGAAACTCCTCATGATCGTGCCAATTTTTGAGGGCAAATCGGTCAATTCAACATTTGCTGGAAAGAATTTCTTGCACACACACTGTCAGTCAGTGTTATTTTTCAATCATATTTTTCAGTTGACAAATATACTTCGCTCTCACAGATCGCTTCGGGACGTCGTGGCATGCATCTCACGGATACTCTAACCTAAAACCTAGGCCAGACATTTTTACCCTAAAATGGGACTTTATTGATTTTCCTTTTTTTTCTACATAATAGTACGTCTTGGTAATCTTGCACTTCACAACACTCTTCAGCTGGTAGCACTCTTCCAAGAGGTAAAGATACAGCCTTAATTTACGGACGGTCCATTTAACTTTTTGAAAAAAAAAATCCTGCAAGCCATCTTCACCAAACATAAAAATCGCGCACAACATATATATGGACCTAAAAAAAAAATCTTGCACCACCCTAAGCCCCCCAAAAATGTTACATACAAGAAAAAAAAAATCCTACACACCACCAAGAGAAAAAAATATATATCCTACCCAAAAGCCACGAAGAAAAAAAAATCTTGCTCACAACAAATCATCCACCCCCACCCCCCCTCAAAAGTTAAATGGATCGTCCCTTATATCATCCTTTTTTATCAAAATACTAATCGAACTTTCTGAAACATCTTGATTATTATAGTAATCTGCTATCACTTCTTAGCTTAAATTAGAAGGAGCCGACGGGTTCCTGGGAAAAATATATATGTTTACGGATCTTATGTTCCATGCAGCCAGCTTTGGTTGCCAGCGAGAAATTCAGGAAAAAAGAACTCAAGGCAGGGAAGCTAGGATTCAGGAATACTTTGGAAGAATTTTTGCCAGAAAAATAATAATTTTCTAACTAAAAAAGCCGTTTTTGACCATAAAAACGTTTGTCAGGAACAAAAATATTTTAAAGAAGGCAGGGCGCCACATGAGATTGTCAACAATGTAGCTCAAAATCTAGTCGCCTATTCTTTTGGGAGGGACAGGAAGCCCAACAAAAGGGTAGGCTGCAAACGAGACTACTAAAAAAACCCTTTCCCAGGAAAAGTTTGTACAAGAACGACAAGAACAGTTATTTTAGAAGAACAGACCCCGTCGGCTCCTCCTGTTAAATATCATTTAATATGCATATGCATCTGTAAAACTGAATAAAAAATAAAATAAATCAATAAGAACCATTTCATGAAAACGAGACATCAAGGGCTAGTCAGACATGATTTTGGAATAAGGTGTATGTGTATTCAGAATCCGAGAAAATTTTGTCAGTGGGTATCCGGAATCCAGAAGCTTGGAATCCAGAACTGTCCAAGAACACTTAGGATTCCGTGTCATAGGTCTAACAGTCTGTGTTTTATTAACAACTGCATTCTGATTCCTCATAACAAGGTGTGCTACATGACAATCAGTATTCTACGATGGATCCCATCCGTTACATCTTCTGCTCAAGTCCTCGTTGTTCTTCGACTATCCTCCGTGCCACATTTACCAGAGTAAGTTGTCAGTAGTACAAGGTCGTACAAGTAACTTGAGTGGTAGAATAATTGATATATATGTGGTACTAATACGCTAGTAGTCCGATTACTAGCAGTTGCTTTGGAAAATGATGATGGTTATGAAAATGGTGCTCAACACCAGCGATTCTATGACTCACTGGAAAAAATCGAGCACCATAAAGGTTGTAAATTTGATGGGAATATGTAGTAAGTGTCCAAAATGATGTAAATTTGATGGAAATCATTTACATCAAATTTACATCATTTTGGACACTTACATCATATACACCTACTTGCAGGAACGTTGTCATTGAAAATAGAACATTTGAATTTAGTAAAAAGAAATTAAAATAAGACAAAAGAGAGCGTTCAGCCTCAGTGATCTTCCTTTGTTTTGTTTTAATTTATTCCTTTTTACTAAATACAAATGTCCTATTTCCTATGACAACGTTTCTGCAAGTAGGTGTATACACCTCACAAATTTACAACCTTTATAGCGCGCGATTTTTTCCAGTGACTGCTGCATGGTGTAGTGGATGCGTGATTGATAAAAATAAAATGTATTCAAGTATTGTATATCATTTTTCACAGATATCATTCCATTGARCGGAGAAGTTTAATGAATAACACTCGTATTCACCCAGGAACATTCAGCATCGATGGTKTTGTCTGTGCAATCACAGGGGTCACCGAATACACGTTAGTATGCTTAASCAATGTAACATTTTAATTGTTAAATAAGGCAACAATTATCACGTTTTACCTTTTATAGCAAATCAGACCCCTTGCTAGACTAACTAAACTGGAATGAATATACAAGAAATGTTTCCATTCGTTTGCTACGCGTATAATGTTTTGCGACGATGTATAGCGCTTAAAACTTAGAAATATRCTTCAGGTAGATTTCTTTAATAATGGGCGGTTCGGTAGTGGATTTATAGCCCCCGTTGAAGGCTGATTGATTACTCCTGCCTGTGGTCTAGTGTGCTATGAGAGCTAAGTAATGCAGACGATCATTGCACACAAACCCCGCTGCTTTTTTTGGACTTAAGCTACATGCATTCTAGCATATATGCCAGACAAATGGGCAAAAAATGATACCCTATACCAGACATGGAGCTCCGAAAAAGGGACATCGAGATATCGAGCGGCACATTCCCGTATAGCAAATATAGGGGATAGCCAGGCTTTTAACATTTTTAGACTATCTATAAGCTCGAAAAAATTCATTTTATTMTTATGAATATTACAGGCAAAGTGCAAGATTTTATTGCCCTATTTCCACTTGTCCAGGATCATCACGATGCTGCTATATTCGAGTCCATCTTGCAGGACGAAACGAAGCTTTGACTACTGGGTAATTACGTTTACAGTCAAACCTCTATTAAAAGGTCACTTTGTTGGAAACACCAAGTGACCACTTAATAGAGGTTGGCCGTTTAATAGAGGTCAAGTTTACACTGAGAAAATATGTATGACAAGCGACGTTGGGTATGAAATGACCACTTAATGGATGGTGACCGTCTAATGAAGGAGGGTCTCAGTGGGGTTAACCGTGAGCCGTGAAACCGGCTGAAAAATCAGCCGTTAGTCGCGAAAATGCGAAAAAATTATAAGCCATGAGGCGTGAATATTGTTTTTATAGCGTGAGCCGTGATTCAGTTTTGTTCCTCAGAAGGACAGTTA